AAGCCTGCAACTATTTAACATCGATGATTATAACACAGAGTTATATCACAAAATGAACCACTTTACAAACTTGATTCGTAAAACTCAATCAATAATAATAAGTAGTATGTAATATATGTACTAACTTGCTTGTATTCTGTTGCATAAAAATGCATTATATCATAAGTTAGTTTAATTCTAAACCACTGTACTTTTTTTATTCTCCGTAAACTGTGATCTTCGAGAGACTAATTAATTATTGAAAAAAATACGACAATAAAAATATATTATTCAACTGATTTCTTTTCCTAAGTAGCTAAATTATGTAATTCTATTACCATTAAGACAAAAGTAAAAAGTACATGAGTTTGCTTATTGTTATTCATTGGTGAATTGATAAATAAAAATGAATAAATTATATTTAGTGATCTAAAAGATTTTCGTGTGATAAATTCACTTTGCACATACAAGTTATCTACACTAATCATTAAGATTTCATTATTTCGCTTACGAAAATGAGAGGACGAAAAGCGAATGTCTGGCGCTTTAACCGGATTCCAAACCAATGGTACACATGGGCTCCAGTATCCTGCGGAAACAAATGGCGTATAAACGAATTGTTGGTCACCGGCCTTCATGGAACTGCATCTCCTTACGATGCTCCACTGCCTTGTGGATCAAACCTTCAGGTCGAAGGCTCAGGGAGTGGCCACCTAAGAAAACCACCTGCTTCGGTTTGGTCACCCGGGCAGTATCACAGCCCTCACACATATCGAATGAGATTTGTGTGGCGCATATGTATTTGGTGCCTGATTGTACCATTATCTATGTGTTAAAATAAATAAATAACATTACATTAGGTACGTATTAGATTTGTCATATTTGAACAAAAGGTGTCATGTTTCTTTTTCGTCTAATATAAATTAGTTAACTTACGAAATGTTTATTATCTCGTTCACACTAGATAAATATAGGATTTTTCTTTCTCCTCCACCCCTCATCTTTGTAACACTACAATAGCACATTGTTTTAAAAAAACACCTTTTATCAAGATTTAAAAAAATCATCATTTCATTACAACAATTTATATGATTCCATGATATATACAATATCTATATTCATCTCTCTTGGTATCTTGACACCATACCTGTAATGTGATCAGTAGAAGAATAAATAATCAAAATGTTTTCCATCATTATCTGCCTGATTTAGCATTTAAGACACGTTCACTGAAAGTCTAAATCAAAAATGAATAACATATTCGAGTTAAAGAAAAAAATGAAATGAAACATTAGAATACTTCTATGATTATTAACATTTTTGTGTTTTTATCACGTAATCCTAAATTGATTTTTAACTCTGTATATATTCCCTTTTGTAGGGATACTATATTCACAATTATCCATAAGTATAATTAATATTTTGCATTTAGAACCTTGTTTATGTAGAGAATTATCTGTTCATATTTCGATTAAACTATACGCTTTGCTTTTTTTTAATTATCGCATACCTTTAAGATAACCAGTCTAGTCATTTGGCATTCGGCCTAAATTCATCACTTGTGAAATATTGCGTTTCTTCTTTTAAATCAGTTCAATATTGATAGAAGAATCTTTGTTATGCTTCTTGGTTTGATGTATTTTGAATTAAGGAATTTATTTTTTTTATACATATTCACTTTATCATCTTAAAGAAATCAAGAACAAAGATTTGAGCAAAATAATATGAATCGATTTCATTAGGTTCTTGTCAGCTACTTGCAACCTGTACTATTTAAAAGTTTAAAGTAAATATTAGGTTGAGAATACTTGCCTAAATGAATTAATAAATATAGAGAAAAAAAAACTAGAGATAACAAGTTGGATATAACTCCAGTCAATAAAAAACCAGTCATTATCCCACTCAACTTCGAAGGTGATGATATTACAAAGGTAGTCAGTATAGAGCTTAATAGTGCATTAACCAGGAGCTACCGTGCACCCAAACTATTAATCGTGTAATAAAACATCTTCAATGTTTTAGTGAAGGGTAAACAAGTTCCCCATTTGTGTTAGCTTCAACTGTGTATAAATTTACGTATACCTATCAGGCACCTTTATTGATTGGATTTTTTAAACATATTCTTAATACATTTCGATCAAGATAAAGAAATACTTTCAATCATGCAATCTCTAGACATCAGCTTGGTACCTTTAAAAGCTTTCAGTGTCATTACTGAACAGTCAAGTCCTTTTCTTTTGAAGTTTACTGCAAAAATTGACATGTGATTTATGTTTTTAAAATTGAACTGTAGTCAAACATTTTATGTTTTTGTACCATAAACTTTAGGTAGTTAAATCATTTAGTTCTTTTAAAATCTTTAAATTAGTTGGTTGTTTCATTACTTTTTTTGGCTTGCTTGCAGTTCAATTACTTTGATTTTCAACTAACCGAATTTTACTCACTTTATTTTTACTTATCATTAGCGTGTGCTCATCACGTAACCATTTGTTTTTAACTCTTCGGTTTCTCTTTTTACTACCGTTGCTATAAAATTATTCTTTTAAATATTGTATGTTTATAGGCAATTTTTATTTGATTTCTTAAATTTATTTACATCTTTCCCATACTATTCTGATGTATAAAGGTAACAAATTTCTGTCTTAAAATTCATTTATGTACTTTTAACTCAATTTATAATTTTAACCATTAAATAATACAGTTTGTAAGAAGTTGACAAGAACCTGATGAAATAAGATGAAATTATGTTATTCTACTTAAATCTTTGCTCTTGCTTTCTTCTTGTTGATAAATTGGTTGAAGTGTGACTTATAAAACTAAATTACTACTAACATTTGCATTCTGATCGTTTATCTTGAAACGAAAATCCTATTTATTGCTTATACAAAACTTTTTGAAAAGGCTCATAGTACAATAGCTTCATATCTTATTCAAAACCGGTTGGTGATGTAGGTCATTAGAATTTAAATGTTTTTCAAAATAAAACTAATTGTATTTAGTCAGTCGCCAACAACGTAGAACTTGGGATATTTGTGCATTAGTTCAAGTTTTCACACCATATCAAGATGAATATCAAAGGGGCAGTAATACTAGTATCAGTCACAGTAAAAAAAATCACTATAGAGATTATGATTTAAGATAAATAAATAAATTCGTAAATACAAAATTATAATTAAAATCTGCCTATATACAAGATTTATTTTTGTAGTGTTTTTTTAGATAACTAAATAGAACAAATATATTGTTGTATACACTGTTATGATTAGATGTTATTTTATACTGATGATAAAGAGTTTCAACAAAGAAAGTTATATGCATATATATCTAAGAATGTAATCGAAGATGTATATGACAGTAGATTGAAAAAGTAACATTGATGTTTATAGAATGAACGAACAATTAAATAAGAAATGAATTTCTTTTTCACTTCATATCCAATTAATAATTTTTCACTTGAAAATAGTTGAATGTAACACGTAATTTGGTATATTTAACAAGATTTATTAGTTAATATAATAGACACCTTAGGAAAAGACGATGGGAATGGATAGGACATAGATTACGCAAATCATCAAACTGCATTACGAGACAAGCCCTAACTCAGAATCCTGAAGGAAAGCGGAAAAGAGGAAGACCAAAGAACACATTACATTGGGAAATAGAATCAGATATAAAAAGAACGAATAACAATTGGAAAGGATTTCCCAGGACAGGGTTGGATGGAGAATTCTCGTGTTTGACCTATGCTCCTTCACAAGGAATAACATGCGTAAGTAAGTAATAATAGACACCTGAGAGAAACAATATTCACAAATAAATCAAATAACGCAATCGACCGAATATCTATGTAACTAATGACGACTTTTCATTACAGACATGAATAATCTTGTACATTTTTTGTTTAAAAACACGATTCTGAACTGATTACGAAGTTATTGTGAATAATTCTTTTCCAAAATAGCAAGTAACGTAATTTTTCTTTATTTTAGGCTCTCTCATTTTGTTAAACTTACAGTTACATTCTTTTTTTACCTTTTTCCTTCCTTAAAAACTAATGCAACTTAAATATATGTTTCTTAAAGCTACATATGCGTAATGTTTACATTTTCTAATGTAAATTAGCCATCAGAAAAAGAAACACATACTTTAAATCACACATAATGACATCATAAAGTTGTCAGTAGACGTAGCTAGTGTATTAACTCTAGTATACTTTTTCATCGTTCAATTACATGTTCGTAATCTATGAAAAATGGAGTGTCAGCTTAATGGTTAAAGCTTTGAATTTCCGGTCACTAAGTTTTAGATTCTAACCCCATTCCATCTATTTCGGATTGGCCAGTTGTGTAATAACATTAGCCCTCACATTTCGAGTATGGATCCAAGTACCCGGTAAATGAGTTTATTCATTTTTATTCTGTTTGAATCTATCAAATTCTGACCTTATTTACTGTAGTAGTTTTGTTCGTTAAATTTCACCGAATATATTCAAATCTTCTGTGAAAATCTTAAATCACATGAATTTAGTGTACAACATTGAGCAAGATTTATACACTTTCTATCATTTTTCAATTAGTCTCCCTCTAGTTCGTTCTGATGTTTTCTGTCTAAAATGTTTCTCATTTTGCACTGTTAAGAAATATGGCGTCTTGAATCGATGAACTGTCGTATCATATTTTATGTCTCCTAGTCTACGTATCTCTTGTAAATGTAATCCCCTTGGAAGCTTTTCAGTTGATTTTGGTTTCCAACATCTAAGTGTAGTAAAAGTGTTTCTAAAAGATACATAGCATTATGTGGTTGACTTCTACTTTATATTTTTAAGATCCCATTCGTACATTTATAGTTCTTATAGAATAATATGTTTTTATAACTCAGTGAGTTAAAAATAGATTTTCGAATGCTTCACAACTTAGTGTAATTCGCTTCTCTATAGGTAAATAATATAGATAATAAATAACCGAATTAAACAAAATTTTAAGTAGTACAATGGATTTTTGAAATTTTTCTTGATTTTTAAGAATTATCGTCCAACTGATGAAGATATAGTTTGGTCACGTAAACCAACGGAATCTATAATTGAAGAAGAAATAAATGTCCACTCATCATCACTTGTTTTTATTGACGTCGGTGGACAAACAAAAGAACGTCGTAAATGGTGTCAATGTTTTGCTGATATGACATCTGTCCTGTTCCTTATTGCTTGCAGTCATTACGATGAACATTATCAAGATCGATTAACTAAAGAATTTCGAAATAAATTACATGAAGCTATGGTTGTTTTTGAAGGACTTATCAATCATATTGCTTTTAGACGTGTTTCCATCATTATATTTTTTAACAAAACTGATATACTTAAAGAAAAGTTAAACTCACGTACATCAAATATTCGTGATGAGTTTCCCAATTACCCCGTGAAAATGGATCCATTTCGTCTGCAAGATGTTCAAACATTTATGGTTGAAGTATTTGCCTCTCTAGTCAATCACAACTTTCCACCAGATACTCAAGCTCGTTCAAGTCTTTCACATTCATCATTCAATAATACTGCTAAATGTTCATCTCTTCATAGACAAAACTCTGTACCTATGTCCACTAACGTAACATTTACAGCCCCTGTACGAAAACGTATGGTCTATCGTCATTTCACAACTGCTGTGGATAGGCGGAATATCGAAACAGTATTCAATGCTATGCAAGATACAGTATTGCAAAATAATTTACGTCGTATCATGATGAGCTAAATACAGACATATAAAGTTGTTCATTTACTGATAGTACAAAGTGTTTACTTCCATTTTCTGCTTTGGTTTATTATGTTGTTTGTGCCCTTAGATCTCAGTGAACATAATATCTATACCTTCCGAAAATGAATTAAAAGTCCTACTTACTATTCTTACCAACAATGTCTGTGCCAAATTTAAACTACCACTAAAATCATCAATAATACTAATAAGAAGTGTGTGCTTTTCATTTCATATTTTCTTATCTAATCATTAATTGTCTTTCATGCTACTCGATTCTTTATTACGTAAATATATACATGCTTTTTGAGTTTGTATTTATTTTCCACGCATTTGCTTACGTTGAGCCTACATATATAAGCACAAGACGTTAATGGTACAAGCATCTGTCGATTATATATAGATCCAAGTGATTTATTCCATTTGATTTATGTAGATAATATACTTTATTTTTCTATATATATATATATATATATTGATGTAAATTTCAGTGTTCCTACATGAAAGAATTCGAAAACAAAGAGATAATTGTACGTGTTCTGGAGGAATACATATTGATGGTGAGCAAATTCCCCAATGTTTTTTGGGACACGATGCTCATTCATATGTTTTGTTCTTGGCCAATTGATATTTCAATGCTTGTAAATCATGTGTTTTATCTTTTTTGTTATAAAGCGAGCTTTTTATACTTCTCAACTTGTCAGATTTATTTGCGTATAAACGCATGTTTACCTTACTATAATTATATTTGATGTATCTAAAGTCAAAGGTTGATCACGTAATGAATATTTATATGACTTCAGTCATGTTCAATACTTTTGTCTCTGAAAACAAATTCCGAGAAAAATCGCAGTTTTTTAGTGTGACTAGATGAATATTTAGCGCTTAGGGATGCTTTGATTGAAAGTTCTCATTGTGGGTCGGAGAACCGCTGGAAGCCATAGAGTGATAGACAGTCAACCGGTATCAGTCCGTAGTGAAGTCATAATTATCTCCACAAAGTAGCCATCTAAATAATCTGTAAACGATAGTCGCAAAGTGATCAAACTTTAAGACCCCTGTGAATCAATCATCAAAGACGATCAACCGAAAGTATTAATTAGAGTTGAGGATTCGATGGAAAATGAAGCAACAACAAACGTAATCCAACCTATGAAAACAGGAGAAGTGCTTATTATGATTATTAACAAAGTTGAACCTTCGCTAGTTGTATGTACCTCGGAAGATCCTATCCACACCAGTTATCTTTAAGATTGAAAAGCTTTATTGGTGCGAATTTCGAAACCGAGACGAGTTCGTATACTTCTATTGACCAACGTATGTACGATAACACTTGTTTACAAATTCGCAGCATATAACTTCACATCATAACCAGGAAACCTGCATTGTTTTTTTTGGCATATAGTTACCAGGGCTTACATCAAAGTTATGACTCCCATGTATTATTTAGGATGAAATACTTTTATCTCGAATGACGAAGAGCCATGAGTCCAAATAACTCTACCCATTTATGCCTTATTAAACAGATAGTAATGCCTACTTCCACACAGTAACTAGCTCACAGCATCCATGATGTGGTTATGGAGTTGCATTAGGTTATTTCTATCGGAAATCAAGTTTTCCTTTCACTGGATACTTCAAATAAACAGCTTTTCGCCACCTAGATACTAAAATGAAATTACTGTGATGGTTCACTTGCAATGATAACCAAGATTTCTTTTCACAATGGTGGTTAGTGGTGAACACTTGTGTAGTAAGCCCATTGAACTATTGTAGTATTTGTCTACTCGCTGTACATCATTGGTTGTAAACACACAATCAGTAATTTATCCATAATCGATTAACACTCATAAATATATATGGATTTTTAACAATCACTCACATTCTCGTTCCCCTGTGTGCTTGATATCCTTGAACTTGCGGATTTTTACTAATCTTAACAATAAACTACCTCTACAACTGGTATTCGGACTTTTGAAAAATTCATAATACTACTAGGAGATTTAGCCTGCGTTAAATAATCGGTTAATGGGATACTATTTATTGGAGTCATAGGAAATTAGTCTCTACACTTACTAAAATTGGTCCCAGTTTTTTTTTCTTCGTAATTACACCAAATAAATGAGTGTTGAATTCAGAATCTTATTCTTAATAAAATTATCTGGTTTTTCACTTGGATATTACATTGCAATTAACATTATTTTACAATAACTAAGTCTCATTAAAAGGCTTTAGTTATAATTTCTGTTGTTTTCTTTCATATATAAAACAAATTAAGCACAGATGCCCTTACTCCATTTGTTAGTCGAATGTACTACTAGACTATCACAAAGTTATGATTATTTGAGTCATCCTCCAAGATAAAATTATAACCAGAAAAAAATAAGAAACAAGCTTTCCTACTCGTTTAATTCCACTACTTCATACACAGAGGTCCCTTTATTATCGAAGCTTTTATCCAAAGTCCACCTAAAAGCATTACGAAATACTAAGCGAAATGATGATATAATGATATTACAGTCAGATAAATGTTCAAGTATTGTTCTAATGAACGCAACGGATTATATCTCCACTACTTCAGTCGGGCATATATAACCTAACAAAATACAGCAAACATACATGCTTCGTAATTCATTAGTTTACAAAGAACGATGTATTTGTTTAAATTGCCACTTGTCTGAACAGTTGTTCTTGCAGGTCAGTACGTCTGCAAAAGGATCTAAATGAAATTACTCAGAGTATTCATCGGTTCACATATAATCTTTACCGTATCTGCTATCGTAACATTGCGGTCGGTCCTTCATATTGTGATGACCCAGTCGAGGTAGATTGATTAGGCACTCGTTACCTCAGACTCTACTAATCAAGGTAGGTCGGTCGGAGAACGGTAAAACTAAAAGCAGCAACATATGGCCTGAGGAAGAAGTACTGGGGACTGTATTCGAGTATGACAGCAGTAAGATGTTCCTCTTGGACAACCAGTATATAGGGCTGTATTGCCTTCCTATAACGAAAGGAGTGGTTTAGGAAAGGTCGACCCTAAAAATAGAATACATCACAGTGCCCCAGGGATTCCAGTCTGCAGTGTTAAGAGCCTCGGAAATGCGGAGCCAACTTATCTAAAACCACTCGGAAAAGGCCCTGACTGGCCTGAACCAGTTTTATCTTGTATTGTGCGATCACGCTTACGAGTCACTAAGACAAGAGCTATCTCTTTAGATACCTCAAGAACTATCCTTTCGTGGTGTGAACGACATAGGAGCAACAACCGACATCATGCTTCCAACAGAAAACGTCATAACGTTTCTATATGCCACCAGTGATAATAACTCAACTTCACCAAATATCGGTCTAGGTCTATTAAAACTTCGCTTCAAGCTACATGTTGGAGCTTTCAACGTCCGACCCCTTGGTTAATCAAACAGTCATCATAAAACAAGATATGGCAATCATGTGCCCTGCTTCGGTATGGGCACCCGGGCAGTATCACAGCCCTCACACATATCAAATGAGATCTGTGTGGCGCATATGTATCTGGTGCCTCCTTGTACCAATATCTATGTGTTAAAATAAATAAACAAAATAATCATGTGCCATCGGTGTATGATGTCTCGGGAGTATACACACAGGATCTTAGCACAGCCATTCACTTTACCTTTCCTAACCAGCATGGACAGCCGGTGTGACGTAATCTTCGCGTATTTGGAGACACGAAAGAAGATTCTCATGGTTTCAGAAATATAGGTATAACACTAAGTCTGAAAACAGAACAGGCACTTGACTGGATTCCTGTCGATTTTCACTTGTGTGCTGTCCGTCTCAATGGCGGAATTAGAAGTTGAAGAGATAATGACACGTCATTGAATCCTCGCTCTTTATTCCTATGCCCCCACTGATTGCACTTCGAATGGAGTGAAAAGTGAGTTTACAGGAAACTTCATGATCTCTCTCAGGAAGCCGGATGCCCAGCCGTAGTAACCTTAGCAGGCGATTTTAGCGACCGATTCGACAGGTTAAGTCAATCGGAAAAATGCAGGTGGGTCTTAAAGCCTACTAGTCTGATAAGCAGATAACAGCAGCCACCTCTTGAGATTTTGCTCACAACGTAGAACCTGGTACATATGTACATTGGTTCAAGTGGCCACATCCTATTAGTACAGAGAGATGAAATTTTCATGCCAAATTCTAGAATAGTAGAGATAGTAAGAGGATGAGTAGCGGTTAAAAAATTAGGCATCAACGATACTACTCGACAAAATATAAGTTCGAATAATAAAAACATAGAAATCTCGTGAGAATCGGAATCTCAGAATTCGGGGGAAGACCAGGAATGGATGCACCTGTGCCATTGGTAACGATTTTAACTCATGTCACCCATATTCTATAACCGCTACTTGAGACAATCACGCAGAATCCAGGTAGTCTACACTTATTAACATGGCTCAGTTCAATTCTCATTATCTTCATGGGCTGCTACTATGTATTCGTTTCATCCAGCCTACTCCAACACCAGAAAACATCGCCTGTTCACAGAGGTGGTGGTTGGCCATGCGTAACGTTTTCCAACCAGCTCAGTTGATGAAGATTTACTACCTCATCAACCGAATTGCCATATTCACCTATTACTCTATTCATAACCTCCACATTACATAATAGGTGGTCCCAAAATACACGAGCAATGCTTCGAAGATAATTATGACCGAATACTAGTGACCTACAAATATTGTCTATATCTTAATGATCATGTTTCACACTCATAAAGTAGAATGGAGTGAACTGCTGTGTAGTGAACTCATACTTTGATTGTGAGACAGATATCGTACATACGCCACAAATGAAGAAAGTTGGCAAAAGCGAATTGAGCATCCTGAATCCGTGAAGAGATTTTGTCGGACATCAGGACTGATGAGACTCTCAAGAAAAGTGAAGCGGTCGAAGTATTCGACTACTTCACTCCATATCACTACTTCGGACGATGAAGCAAGGCAATCCTGAAGTCACACTTTACATTAGAAGGGAGAGAACCGTGAGGTCAGAAGACTCCGAATTTTGTCAGTCTTCACCAAACAGAACTATATCATCTGCGTATCCTAATTCAACAAGTGAATCTCCAGGTAAAGACCAATCCCTGATGTCAGATTATGAGTGTTATCTCTTAAAGGAAATGGAAAATTTAGACAGCCCTGACGAACACCACTTTCGGTTAAAAATAATGATGACAGATCATCATAAGCTTTGATTCGAGTAGGCGGCCTGTATAAGGTTAATGTAATTCTTTGGTACGCATTTTAATGAGACTGCTACAGAACCTCACAATCAACAAAATCGAATGCCACCTCAAGTTCAAGTACATCAACAGTGTCGGATGCCGGCTCAGTGGTCTGGAAGTTAAGCGTTCACGCGCGAGACCGAAGGTCCTGAATTCGAGTCCCTGCCAAAGGATCGTGTAACCGTTACGATGAGTCACATGGTAGGATGAAAATACTGTTCAATGAATCCAGATTTTCATTAGCTGTTTAAATTAGATCGATTAATGATTTAACTGAAATTCGACAATCTCCACAATCCCATACTGAAAATGTAACTGTAGTTGGACGTCAAAAAGTATGCTCGTTTCAAAACCTAATGAAGGATTGATATTTAGTCTATACATTTACACTCTACTCTCCAACAAGCCTAGTTATCTTGGGTTTGCTTTCAACGAGCCCTAGTTGAGTGTCGTAGTATTATTAAGGCTAATATTTCGGAAGCTATGTTAGCCGAACCAACTCTTCTTTGATAACTATAAGAGGACTTTTGTCCTTCTTCACAGAATGGAGCGACCAGAGATCGAGACCGGTCACGAGAAACTACGTCCAATCCGCAAACTTCAGTTAATATATCGGTCAATCTAGCTGCTAGGTGTGGACCACCACCCTTAGAAACCTTAGGGTTTAATCCATCAGGACATGCTGCTCTCTCCCTTTAAATTATATATGTTTTTTTACTACTTCTTTGAGAAACAGATGTCTTATGTTGACATCCCATTCGGGTTGTCTGGTAAAAGCAGGCATACATTTGTCTAAATGATCTTATTGATAGTTTCCTAATCTAGTGATCCATAAGTTACAATAGTTTATGTACTTTGTTGATTGATGAAATCCAACGAAATAAAGTTGCACAATTTTCGCGGGCAATATAATAGCTAAAAATCACGAAGGCAACGCTGTAGACCCATAACCTTTTGAAGATTTAGTATAAAGTAATAAAACCTAATACAACGATGTTTAATCACATAACACGAATCCAACTTGATTATTTTTAACTATAAGACAACGAAACGATAGTTCTACAAGGTATGAAGAATTTATTTTATAAAATTTATTCTTTTACAGCAAAATCAGTCAGGTCGGGTAGCTCCTCGATGCCATCTTTCGTAACAATACGGACCATGTATCGATCAAGATTTATAACTAGACGTTTTTGAACTTCCTGAATACACAAACGCAACAGTGCAACAGCTTCATTTACAGTCATATCTGGACGGTGCATACGGTCTAAGATACTCAAAGCAACAAGAGCTCCGTATCCATGCACTGCGAAAGGTACCTGAAGAAAGCAAAGAAATAATAAAGGTATGCATGATACTGAAACATAAATTAAAACAGATCAGAAGTGTGTATTGAGCGATATACTTGAATGTGAATAATCTTTTTTCAAACAGTGATGAATAAATGAATAGCTGTTAGACATTGTAAGAATGTGGGGCACCTTTAAAAATGTAGAGAACTCCTGGCACTAAAGCTTTGTGGATACAGCAATAGCTGGACTGAAAACAGTACAGGTTAAATAGCAAGCTGTAGTTACCTGTTCAGACCATAATAAACACTGTTGAATTGTACAAGAGGACATTGGGACAGTCATTATTTATTCTCTTTAATACTACCATATCAGTTTAATTTTTTTGGTTTCCAAATTTTCGTTACCGTCAGCCTTGTAATATTCGCTTTCGTCATTTCTTTTAGTGATTTTTCCGCTGTACTATGAAACACGGCAACTTGGGAAGATGCAAACATGTGTAACCATCGACATCAGACATTCAGAAACGGTAACTCAAGCCACGAAAAAAGTTCACATGCCGTAAATATGCTTTAGACCTAACCGTATGGATTGATAACATTCCTACCCGTTAGAAGAAATCAAAACTAACTCGTTATAACGTGCGAACGCGTAGACGCTGGCCACCGAGATAGACATTTTCTTTTCGGGATTATCTACATGCTGTAAGATATTGATTGAGAACTTTGATGTGAAACCAAATGCACGTGGTGAATTGGCTACTCTTTACCTGAGTAGCCAATGGTTGATCGCTTATACCGTCAAAAACTGATACAAACCAGTATTTTTGGAAGATGTTACGCATTCGACTACACTTTGGGGATGTTTGTAAACTAGTTTTATATTTCAGACAACAGCGTATAAAAAACATGAAGACCTTAGTTCGCGTGATGTCTCGTAATTTACTCTTAAAAAGCATACAGTTTTGTCTAACGACCTGATAATCTAGTTAATTTTCAACATAACAGAAAGTTCTACATAAGGTAAGTTTCCTTTACGGATTTCAACACTTAATACATACTACAATGATCCAGGACCAGAAAACTACCTACTTGTTATAGACGTTCCTATGTAGGTTACTAACTGTAATGTGTATGGGATGCTCGCCACTAAATTAGAAATACGAGGTTCTATAACTTCAAACGAAATAGATCTCTAGCACCATACTGTCAGTAGATTTGTCTTCGTATAAATGATCCTGTTGTTTCTCTTTTATTATTGTATCATTGACTTTTACTGATATAAAACCGTTTTGTCCGTTCGAAAATATATAACTATATGATGTTTGCTTAGCCCGACAGTAGCTGATACCTTGACGTGGTGCTCGGGCTTGCCTATCGTGATGACCCAACAGAGCTATATTGGATGGAACATATGTTCCTGTAGGTTCTACCATGCCATGCAGGTCGATTGGAGAACGGTAAGACTAAAAGCAGCAACTCAAGGTCTGAGGGCGAAGTCGTACTCATGACTGCAGAGGGGTGTGACAGCAGTAAGGTGTTTCCCTCGGACAACCAGCATCTGCGGCGATGCTGCCTTCTCACAAGGAAGGAAGGAGTTGGAAAAGGTCGACCCAAAAAGTGTCACACCTCACCTTACCTCACGGATTATATCTATTATAAACATGACTAACCCTTCTCACAGTGCCGAATAGGATAACAGGCTTCCTTAGACAGAACTTTAGAATCTCGCGCCATCGAGGTGTGCTGTGTCTTCGAAACGCACATACAGGATCTGGGCAGTGTCATTCATTTGACCTCACCATGTCAAAGTAACGAACCAACTCAATTTACACTTCATGTACGAAAGCCCTGATGCTGCTTCTAATGGCCTCGCTGGTGCAGGTATAGCATTGAGTCCTAGGGCAGAATTAGCTCTCTTAGACTGGATCCCAGTAGACAGTCGTTTGTGTGCTGTTCAACTAAGCGGAACAGTAAGGACTCGGAAAGATAGGGACACTCGTCGTTGCCTCTTCATCGTCTCTGCCTATTCTTCCACTGACTGCAGCTCAGACGATGTAAAATATGAGTTTCACAGAAGGCTTTCCGACCTTCTCCGAAAAGCTAGGCGCTCTGATGTAGTAATAGTGGCTGGTGACTTTAATGCTCAAGTGGGTAAACTAAGCTATAGGGAAAGACACCTGGGTGGATCTTATAGTGTCGTGGCTCAAAGAACAAATAATGGCGACCGTCTCTTGCAGCTATGCTCAGATAACCACCTCTTTCTTGCAAATACTAGCTTCAAGCATAAGCAAAAACATATTTTAACATGGCGACCCCCTAATTCGTTCCAACGTTGGACCCAAATAGATCACGTCGCTATCAGCCACCGATGGAGGGGCTCGATAGAAGACTGTCGCTCACTTTGGAGCATATGCTTAGATTCAGATCACGCTCTAGTACGAGCGCGTATCTGTCTGCGTCTTACTGTACGTAGGAAAGACGCTGCAAGTAAACCTCTCAGGGCCCTTCTTAATGATAGTCAAGCTAAGAGTATATTTCAGGAACAACTAGGAAGACAGTTAGGCAGCCATATAGGTGATGCCCACCCCGAGGCAGCATGAAATGATATCCGAAAAGCTGTGGAAACAGTAGTGATATCTGCTAGTACGGTAAACCACAAGGTTAGGGAGGAACACTGGATTTCAGCAGCATCTACCGCACTGATAGATGCTCGAAAATTCATTCCATCTGGCTCTGGACATAACGAAGAGCGGAGTCAGCTTAAGCGCAAGCTGACAAGAAGCCTACACAATGATCGCGAACAGTGGTGGGTGGCGAAAGCAAGAGAGATGGAAAAGGCAGTGGCAATAAGTAACAGCAGACAACTTTTCAGACTTGTTAAGGAAACCGGCATTAGGAAACCGACTGTTAGCGAAACAATCTCAGAAAAAGATGGACATATTATACATTCTCAATCCAGGAGATTGGATCGATGGGCAGAACACTTTAGGGATCAGTTCAACTGGCCTTCAGCCACACTTCGGTTTCTCACGATCTCCAGTCTACCTGAATGGCAAGTTAATGTAAGTCCTCCGACTCTTTACGAAGTTGAAAAAGCCATAGGAAATCTGAAGCTAAGGAGAGCAGCAGGCCCTGACAGGTTTACTCCTGAGATTTTTAAGGATGGTGGTCCAGTATTAGCAGTGAAATTAACTGAGGTCTTAGGTGGACTTTGGGAACTGGACGTAATCCCATCTCACTGACCTCAATCACTGATTGTGCCAGTCTATAAGAAAGGACAAAAGTCCTCTTGTGACAATCACAGAGGAATCAGTTTGACAAATATAGTATCTAAAATATTAGCTTCAATAATTCTTCGACGCCTAACCAAAGTTCGTGAAGAACAGATTAGAGAAAGTCAGGCTAGTTTTCGACCTGGACGTGGTTGTATAGACCAGATATTCACACTACATCAGGTTCTAGAACACAGACACACGTTCAGACACCCCACAATCGTAGTATTTCTCGACCTTAAGGCGGCATTTGACTCCGTTGATCGTGAGGTTCTATGACAGTGTTTGTCACTGAAAGGAGTACCAAAGAAGTACATTAACCTTATAAAGGCTCTCTACTCGAACACAACTGGTCGAGTGAGAGCTTATGGCGAACTGTCATCAGAATTGATCACCTCAAGTGGTGTTCGTCAGGGTTGTCCACTCTCTCCATTCTTGTTTAACTTTTTCGTTGACGTGCTTTTAGAGATGACACTCTCCTCATCTAAATTTCCAGGGGTTGAAATTCTACTGGGAGATTCACTTGTTGACTTAGAATATTCAGATGACATAGTTCTGTTTGGTGAAGACGCTGACAAAATGCAGAGTCTTATGACCACTGTAAGCAACAATGAAAGCATGTTCGGGATGCGATTCTCCTCCTCAAAGTGCAAAATGTTACTTCCGGATTGGATTGCATCGACACCCGAACTAATGGTAGGTTGTGAAGTAGTTGAGCGTGTCGACCGCTTCACTTATCTTGGAAGTCTCATCAGCCCTTGTGATCTGGTGTGTGACGAAATCTCAGCACGGATACAAAAGATTCGACTAGCTTTTACCAACTTGCGTCATTTATGGCATAGGCGAGATATCCGTCTATCAACCAAAGGACGTGTTTACTGCGCAGCAGTTCGTTCCGTCTTACTTTATGGCAGTGAAATATGGCCGGTAAGAGTAGAGGATATTCGTAGGTTACTAGTGTTCAATCATAGGTGTCTTCGAAATATTGCTCGTATATCCTGGGACCACCGAGTAAGTAACTCAGTTGTTAGGAAACGGGTACTAAGTAAGGATGGCAAATCCATTGATGAATTAGTAGAACTTCATCAGTTGAGATGGCTGAGACTTGTGTTACGTATGCCCAACCACCGACTGCCCCGACGTGCGATGTTTTCTGGTGTAGGAGTAGGTTGGAAGAAAGCTAGAGGCGGCCAAATCAAAACATGACACAAGTCCATGAAGTCACTGACAAGTGGACTGAGTCATGTTGGTAGGTGTAGACTACCTGGTTGGGGACGCGAGATGATAGCAACCGATGGTTAAAGACCCTGAATGACATGGCTCAAAATCGTTTGCAATGGCGCAGATGCATCCATTCTTTGTGTTTTCTCAAATTCTAATCTCCTGAATCCTCCTTGTCTCTATTTTTCTCTTTCCAAATTTATTTCACTGGATTATACTCTTTGAATAACATCTTCAAACCCTAATGTTTCCGATTACTGCTTATACTCTTACTACCTCTACCACTATGGGATTTGAATCGACAACTGCATCTCTGTGCTAATATGGTATGGCATCTTGAAGTGGTGTACGTACGTACGTACGTACGAAGTTCTACATTGTTACTGAGTGACTTATCACTTCCTGCCTGCCCACACCGTATTAGAGTATTCCTTGAAGAACCTGAGAAGGAAGTTGGGTTAATTTTTGGTCTTAAGGATCTGGGACTGTGACCGCATAGATCAAGGTATAGCTGCTTGCGGACGGTCGCGCACGGATTTCTGTGGGAGCTTTTTATTCTGTTAGCTCTGTCTTCAAAAGGCCTTAACACTGTAGACATAATACGTGAGGTAAGGTGAGGTGTGACACTTTTTGGGTCGACCTTTTCCAACTCCTTCCTTCCTTGTGAGAAGGCAGCATCGCCGCAGATGCTGGTTGTCCGAGGGAAACACCTTACTGCTGTCACACCCCTCTGCAGTCATGAGTACGACTTCGCCCTCAGACCTTGAGTTGCTGCTTTTAGTCTTACCGTTCTCCAATCGACCTGCATGGCATGGTAGAACCTACAGGAACATATGTTCCATCCAATATAGCTCTGTTGGGTCATCACGATAGGCAAGCCCGAGCACCACGTCAAGGTATCAGCTACTGTCGGGCTAAGCAAACATCATATAGTTATATATTTTCGAACGGACAAAACGGTTTTATATCAGTAAAAGTCAATGATACAATAATAAAAGAGAAACAACAGGATCATTTATACGAAGACAAATCTACTGACAGTATGGTGCTAGAGATCTATTTCGTTTGAAGTTATAGAACCTCGTATTTCTAATTTAGTGGCGAGCATCCCATACACATTACAGTTAGTAACCTACATAGGAACGTCTATAACAAGTAGGTAGTTTTCTGGTCCTGGATCATTGTAGTATGTATTAAGTGTTGGAATCCGTAAAGGAAACTTACCTTATGTAGAACTTTCTGTTATGTTGAAAATTAACTAGATTATCAGGTCGTTAGACAAAACTGTATGCTTTTTAAGAGTAAATTACGAGACATCACGCGAACTAAGGTCTTCATGTTTTTTATACGCTGTTGTCTGAAATATAAAACTAGTTTTCAAACATCCCCAAAGTGTAGTCGAATGCGTAACATCTTCCAAAAATACTGGTTTGTATCAGTTTTTGACGGTATAAGCGATCAACCATTGGCTACTCAGGTAAAGAGTAGCCAATTCACCACGTGCATTTGGTTTCACATCAAAGTTTCACGTTTTTATTGACTAACTGATTGAGTGTTTGTTTAGGTTCTTCTAGAGTCCCTTTACAATACGTAATAAACTGTGTTCAGTAATCTGCTTTGTAGATCTTTTTGTACTTACGCCTCTCAACTGTTCTTTCGACGTCTTTAGGTTAATTATATATCCTCAATATAAGGAACTAAATTTAACAAAGATGTATAGTGGCTAGCAGTGGAATCGAGGATGCGTGTTTCGTCCTGTTTGGGACTCGTCGGCTGTATGTACCTACATCCCAGAGTCGATGTTCACTCAAAGACTCGAACTCAGTATAGCTCGCTACAAACGTCATCGCGTTGTCTAATTAACTACTGAATCCTGATAGGCACTATCCATCTTTGCTTATGAAACATGTGACTTAAGGCAATACCAAAGCAATCCGCAAGGGATGCATATATGCCAAAAGGGACTGATCAATTTCAGTCCTAAACAGCAATCGGAAGATACAAGCAAACAATACCAAGTTAATTTACCTAGATTTAACCTTCATGGTGCTTCCTATGAGTAGATGAACGGCATGTCAGATTTTCAGAGACCGTTTGGATATAATTTTGGTAATAACTCTGATGAACACGACAGCATTCACAAAATCTAATTTATCTGTGAATTTCTTTTCAGTTCATATGTGTTCATATAAACTTAATTTATGCCTATCGATCAGAATGACTAAATTGTCAAGACCATATCCCAGGTCGATATATGGTCAATACTTTTCACATAAGGACGGGGTACACACAGACATTCCTTTACATACCATGGTTTATATACAATTCACATCACATACCTTGTATCGATACTTTGTAAATCTATACTCTACATATTAATATAACTAGATTGTTTAACATAGATGTTTCGTTACTATACTTGGTGAATTTGCTTATTCGGCTTAACTTCCGACGTCAACCTCAAAAAGCAAGTTGGGTTATTTCTACTTTTAGTTGCTGAGATTGTTTTAAGCACAATTATCCCGTTTTATGACTTATAAATCCGTTGCCCAATTATAGTAAAACTAGTCCACAATTAAACGAAAGTTGGACTAGATAGGAACATTAATTTTGCCTGTAAATCACTTAACTTACAAAAGTCAGCTAGTCTTATACGGTTACAATAAAATACTACCAATTAGGAGTGTTTATGAGAGCAATGAAACTAGTTTTGTTCATTATGCTAATAACATTAGTTCTTGCTGTAACCAAAACGGTTTTTTCAACCTTAATAAACGGCAACTGTGCCCTACATAAAAATGAACCCGAATACTCAAGATCTAATTAACTGCTATTTGGTTCTTTAATATAGAATGATTACATTCATGATAGTTGATATCAATTTTATGAAGGATAAATATCAAAATTAAGTCTACGCACCTTAATTAGAGACGCCAAATAGTCCAAAAAATATAGCTCAGGGCCTGTCTGAAGGTCGAAGCCAGCTATAAGCAAATTGACAAAGTATGGAGACTGCTCTATAAAATCTTTATAACATTCCATCTTACTCGACTACGCAGGGATTCTGCCATATTGTTCCTGGTAAAATTAGCAGCTGCACTGGGAGTTAACTCATATCCTTGAAGCAAAGTAAAAGGTACAACGCAATTTACCATTTCTTATTTCGTATAGCTGCATGTTTTGTTGAATGAATTCGGAAAACTGAGAAGTGTCACCAGATTCACCACATACAGCAGCAAGCACTCGTTTACTAAACTTGAACATCTTGCTCTCATCGTGTTTAATGGTAAGAATTGAGTGGGCACATCGCATGTCTGCTGCCAGTAACACAAAATCGTTCATTTTGATCCCTATTATACACTCCATGTCTTTCTTAACACTGATGAGTCAAATGATTCAAGAAGACCGGGCACTACCCGACCTTGTGCAGATATACAGAGCTGAATAGCAAGGACAAAAATTAGATTAACTATATGAAACTTTCCATTTCACAGTTGTTTAATTCAATGACTCCAACTTTAAAATAGGGAGAAAAGTGAATTGTGTTGTGTGCTGTTTCACTGATTTGCAAATCATATAATGTTAAGTAGTTATGAATGATCAAGTACGTAAAAATAAGATTTCGCTCGACAGGCCTAATGTTACCTTATTAATGGACTGTCGATGCCTAGATGTGGACAGGTGTGATAAAGGATATAAAACAAACTTTACAAAATTTATTAATAGTAGAATAATTCAGATTCAGATCATCACCTATTTACTCACACCTGTTACACATCGTTGAGGAGCTTGGGCCACGCAAAACCAACTCCCTCCTGGGCAGTCGTTTCCAGGTTTTCCAGATTCTATACATCCTTTTCATGTCTGCTTCCGATTCTTGATGCAATGCGTTCTTTAGTCTTCCTCTTTTCCGTTTTCTATCAGACCATGGACCAATGTTCCTTCCTTCGTAAACTTTACCAAGCTTTTATCTGCACTCAAGTCTCTTCCCAGTGGGTGATTTGAAGGCCAAAACAGCAATTCTGCCATCGGTATGTTTTTGAAATTAATTTCTCGGCGGAAAACCCGTATGCTGCTGGTATTTTGTTTATTCTCGCCTTTGAAACTATCCTGATGTTATCATGTTTGATATGAAAACAGATGCTATACTATGACCGAATTCGTTTCTAAAACCCATGTGCATCGTAAATCAATCATTTTTAATCCTCTCTAAGATAACGTAAAGATATCTAACAATGTGGAGCCAGTGATATCTAATTCAGACTTAGCTAACTCATTAATCAGGCTTATTGTACACCATTTTCACAGTGGGCTATAGGTCTGTAGTGACTCACTTTTATCACGAAAACACGATTGGTTTATTGAAAACAATTATTATTATAGCCAATTGTACCAGTGACTGTTTTAATGTGTTTTTGTTTAACTGTGCTAAAAAGCATCCATTATTCTTTCACTTTGATTGTGACTTCGTGCGAATTCGGTTACGTTCTGTAACCAAGCTTCTTTCCTGGCACGATCTCGGTATCCTTTCGATACTACGAGATCGCCAGCAAATATCTCTCGACTAGGTCCATTGACTGCCTTCTGATATTTGGCTTCCGGTGGATTTTACGGATATCCTGGCACACGTTCCTTGGTAGTGGTGTTCATAGTCAACTACGACTCGACTCCACGCTACAGGTCACTGATCTTCCAAAATCCTGTAGGGCATCGCCATTCAAGAACAACCAACGCTGACTAATTGATCGCACTTCATGTACTGGCCCATACGGCAGTGGTCGTACCCTCTATCTTATATCTATTCTTAATAATACATTTTTTTGTAATATCACATTAGTTTTATGCGGTCATCAATGTAGCCTCAGAACCTGGATACCACGAAAGGTTTATCCACGTTGGGTATTACCCCTAAGGTATACCTTCGGCGTAAGCTCGGATGTCAAATCATTCCCATTCCAATTAAATAGACTGGGATCATGTACTTGGATCGCCTACATTGCCCATCTACAATAAGTTCAGGAATTTTCGGGATAGCCGTTTTCTGCGCTCCCTTCAAGAAATATGAGTTGTCTTGTGAAAAAGTTGGCTTGTGGCCCGTAAACGTTTTTGCAATTTGAGCCGCATTAGGCCGTGAATATCAAGGTGAACATATTCCCAACCAATCTATTGGAAATTCTTCCCCATGTCATTACTAATATTAATATATTATTCCCATCCAAAAATAGTGGTCATTCGTTTTCCGATAGTGATCTATTATGACTTTTAGATCATTCTAAGACGACAATCAAGAAACACTTCTTTCTGTCACATTCTTATATTCAGTAATAATGTGCTCAAAGCCTTTGTGGATATAGTTGGCTCCGTTGGCAGTCGCTAACCATGAATTATTCCGGGGGCATATTTTCTCATCAAAAAGCATCTGTATTTGACCTCCTTGGCAGTTTACCTACTTTGTGCATGTGACCGAATAAATTATTTTTGACTATCTCTTTAAGGTGTATGGCCTTACGGTACTACTACACTTGTAGTTATTTTGGCATGAGTCTTTTTCATCGAAATTATCGTGAGCCCTATCATTTTACTTTGCATTAAGGTGTGGAGAAAGATGCGTACCTAATTTCCCAGTTGATGGTAAACAAAATCCATGATACGTAGATTTGGGCGTTATAATTATCGCTTTGATGTCCCAAAAAATAAATATTAAGTTTATCTATGCGTAGCTTATTAATTTTGAAGTATAAACGCAAAATTGACTTCGTGGTCAGGACCTGGATACACTTAGGTGTATTTCAACATGCTTGAGGTTAAGATGAAGGATTATATTATCATTTTCTTGATGGACTTAGGTAAGTCTTTCGTTCAGGGGTGTTAGCTTTAAGCAACAACCTGACTGAAAACATATTCCGGAGTTTTAGTAGCGAAGTCAGTCTACACATTCCTCTAACTCACTTAAAGTTCTTATTAACAGTTGAACTATCACTAGAAGTTCCGATTTTTTTCGAAGAAACAAAGAAAAACTATTAGAGTCGAATGAGACACTATTTTTGAGACGGTTGGAAAGTGCGATAGCCTTTTTAAAAACTTTCGAGAACCCTGCCAAAACATCACACATCCTAGTAAAGCATGTGGTCGATCGGATTTTAAATAGTCAACTATGTGACTAATATCTAAACCGGGATACTTAGTATATTCGATCAAAGGCTTTGAAATCTCAACGTACGTAATACCTATCGGGCCCTTGCAACTTCAGTCAGTACGTTTTTACTAATATAGTGACTTTCTAAAGGGTTATGTAATTTAGTGTAAGATTAGAGATGTATTTCCTTGAAGAGTACAGAAAGTAGAGCTTACTCCCGCTAGTTTTATGATAAATGCCAATAAACTGGTTTGAAGACGGTGATTACCCGACCTATCTTCTAGTGGTTTCGTTAGAGGTGGAACAAGAAGCATACAAAGAGGGTGTATTCAATATGATTTAAGTATTTTTTACATAACTTGGGAATATTGTTGTATATGTAAAGACTACCCTACTGGAGGGAAACTTCAGAGATGATATGAAGGTTTACTTGAAATCATTAAACGTAAACACTTCACATTCGGTGACTGATATTTAGCCCTCGAGCCCCACAGGATTCAATCATCAGACAAGAAATCGCCGGAGATATCAACACCACTCTGATCCTTGGATGAGGACTGTGTTTCTGGTCAACCTTCCCCAATTACCCAGCACACCATCTCACAACACTTTGGTTACAGACCAAGAAGACCTTTATTTAAATAATATAGTACCCGTCGATAGGTGAGCTTCTAGGTACTACGTCCTAGCTTGGATCAACTAAATATAAAGTTACCCGGATTTTCCTAGCGCTTATATTTACAGCACTAATGTGACAACGGACAGAACCCCATAAGAACTAATTGTCTTGATTGATCGTTTCTCTGAGTTTGATGTTACTTTTTTAAACTATTCTTTCCAGCGATATTGTGATGGTAGTTCATGAGATTGAGGATTTCTTCATTACGAGGTTACCAAGATGAAGTCGATTCTCCCACTTAATCGAATATGCAATTGTTAAGGCGGTCGCAAGAATACTTGGATTCTATTAGAAGGGCTAAGATCTATTCTGGAATGATAAACGCTCGTATACGTCCTATCAATTTGATTTTCCGCATAACCTTTGCCCTCTGATCTGGTTGACAATCTCTGTTCACCAACAAGGGGCAACGGGCGCAAGTAAGTAAGCGAAATTGGCCACTGGTTGGTTGTCATGTCTTTTAGTTCGATAAAGGTTATATTCTGCAACTATAGTATTAACTTTTGTACTAATTTCGTTTGAGTTACTTGTTCTACCACATATGTCAATTCACCTGCAATTCCGTCTTTTACTAGCTTAACCGTCGAGGTTTGATATATTGAGCACAATTGATTATTATCAGTTACGAAAAGAACCGACCTCAGAAGAAAAGCTCAGCCGTTTCCGTTCCCAAATCCGTAACACTTCACTTCTACTCGAAGTTTGTGCTTATGATGTCGTTTGGAAGAATGATAAAAGCCCCACGACAAAACCATCCAGCTTAGAGAACCAGACCACCAAAATAATCAACCGGAGCTTCGAATCTTCTTTACTATCTCAAAGGTAAATACAATGATTACTCAGGAGATATTGAGAATCCGAAAGACATGTTTTACACGATAAAGTGGGGTTTGTCCACAGATGACTCATTGGAAAATACAGTTGATGCTCGCACAAGGTATCCATTGAAACCATTTTTTAGGATTTAGCTAACTTTCATCTTAAGTGCTGCAGATTAAGTGGGGAAAAAGAAAACTAAATCTGAAGTTCGAGGGCTAAGTTATCCAGCGATTCGAAGGATCGATCGTCTGAATAGGATGTTTACTCGAAAACCCCTATTGAAAAACATTTAAAGGGCTTGCGGAAGAGACGATACTCAGCTAAATGTTTATCACTTAAATATGTTATTTGTACATTAAGAATATGCCGCGCATCATATATCCACAAGTTCGTAGAATTGTTACAATTTTCACTGAACTTATGTTCGAAAATGTCTCCAAAATCTTAACTCGTCCTAGAGTTAAGGACATGACAGGACTCCAAGCCTTCCTTTCAAGTAATGTACTAATGTTCTGTAGCTTTCATCTGTACTCATTTCAACGAACATTTACCTACGAATTTCATATCTAAAATGTGAAGAAAAAAGATAATCCCAGTATAAATGAACCTACCTGGTGACAAGTAGTCAAAAGTTGAGCCAAAAATAATAACTGCTCGAAGCAATGGTGAAACTATTGTTTCTTTTATTTCGGCCTTCATGAACGGAGCATTTTGATCAAAAGCATCTAGCTTACAAACTCAGGAGACATGACTTGTAAGCTGCTGTTGTCCCAAAACATTACATAGCTTTCAGTTTTTAAGACCTAACACATAATC